TCTCTCAGTGGCTGTCGGAAAATGCAGCTAAGTTCGAGGCGGCTAAATTGGAGCGTTGCAAAAAGGCCAAAGTCACAATCCCCGAATTTAGGGCCCTGTTGGCGCGATGGGAGGAATTGTTGAGCAGTGGCTGTGGCGATTCGGTAATTCAGCATTTGACGGTTCTGTCATCTGTCCACTCTAACTGCTTAATCTTAACCGTTTTGTGTATTGTCTCCGACCTCTTTACTCGTCTTTCTCGGAGGTGCACCGATGATTTAGGCGCAGTGAACCTGCATGAATCTTTTCGAGTTTGAAGGAGGTTAGCCGCGCTAACAGTTGACCTATATATGAGCATTTTAATGGCCATTTCTGACCCACTAGCGGTCATCAGCCGGTGGTGCACCACCCGAGGCTCGAACCCACGACCCTTTGATCAGAAACCTACCGCTCTAACCACTGAGCCACGGGCTCGTTGTCTTGCTGGTTTAGATCTGGAATGTGGACATTGGTTGATGAACAATCGTTAGCGATCGGTGAGCATTCATCAACGAATGTTGATGTCTACTTTCTGATGAATAGGATTGGACAGAAACGACCACTCTCCAGTCCGCGTGTCCTGATTGGCGCATCTTCCCTCCTCAGGCGAATAAAGGTCTTGTCCCAGCCATCGAATCTTCTTCTTCTTCTCAGTTCACTCAAGTCTATGCGATTTTCTGAACGTGTGTCTCATCTTACTCCTGAGGGTCGTGTCGTTGGTTTGAAAAGGGGAGCATTCTACTGGTTCTGACTAATTGACCCTTAGATGGGGCCAAGGTGTACATGCCATTGCTCACACTTGTCAGCACTTTAACATCATGCACAGTAAAGAACCCTATTATCAGAAAATAGAAACATTATTTTCCGGAAAGAAATTTTTACAAGGCACAGATCACGAGACTAGCGGAATTTATTGACGTCATACAATTTATTACCCCATTCCCTCTCACGCCTCCTCCCTCCCCTTTAGGACCAACTGCTGCCCTACCCTTTGCCACCCCCCCCCCTTTAGTCACGCTTGACAGGCTCTCACCGTAACATGAACTACCTTGCTGTGATAACTACCGCCCTCCTCCATGCACCCACGTCTAAGACGAATAGTTCCTACTCTACCTATCAGGTTCCACCCTTCTAGGTCGATACCTAATTGGACAGTTACTTTATCTTATTAACTAAGAGGTCGCGAAATTGTATGACGTCAATAAAGTCTGGTCATCTGTGCTTTGTTCAGACCCTAGTATCCTTATATTCGTTTCGCCTGCTTTCTCGGATTAGTCACTAATGTAAGGTGGAACTGGAACTTTTCGGTTTTAGAGCTGATCTAGACAATGCGTCGTCGGTGGTTACATACGAGGGTTCTTTCATCTACCTCCGGGAACCTAGCAGTTGACCGCTGCATGTTCTTCTCTTTTGGCTATGGGACAAAGCCTGTGTTGCCGAGAAAGATAAGAAACGCTAAGGTGTTGGTTTCCGCCTTATTTGTAGTCATCAGATGACCATACCTCAATCCAGTCTGGTCGTATCCAATAGCGCTGAACTTACAAAAGACCAGTTAGCCAGCTTCCAGTGGGTCTTCATCAGTTCTAAACATTGAGCTACGGTCTCGGGGTCGTGCCGGTTTAGATCGGGAGATATTGACGCTCTTCGATGAACGTTCACCTATTGTTAGAACTGTTGGTCTATTCGTTTTGCAGCTCGAATAACTGTTATTACTGGTTGAACAGCTTCCCGAATAACTGTTCGAATTGTTGGTCTATTCGTCTTGCAGCTTGAATAACTGTTGATAATGCAATATTTCTTAATGCTGTGCTGCG